TAGGTAACCCTCAAAAGACCAGCACGGTCCTTAGCCTGAACAAAGCTGTGACGCTGATCTCCACAGGTACTTAGGTCACCAGCTCATTTTGAGGTGCCACGAAACATATCCTTATTTTGTTGGCAACCATCTTGCGGGGAAATAGAGAATCCTATTTTCAGAGAAGTAGCAGCCGAGTAACCTCTTTTGCTAGCCGGACGTACTGTGAGTTATTAGGTGTGTTTGTTCTGGGGGTTCCTTGCAGACCAAGTTGGAGGCAGCTACTCAGCAGTCCGAACTGCAGGCTTCTGTGCAAATAATTCAGAATAATCTGCAAAAACTCAAGCAGTTTGTTCGAAGAATGGACTCAAAGGGAGAAGCTGGCTGGCAGCTTGCAGCGAGAGACTTTTCCTATACTTTGGCATGGACCTATGAAGGTAATGAAAGAATTGCCTCAAAATCTTGTGCTTCCTTACCACAAAAATCATTTCCAATGGTTGAATGTTGCTCAGAAAGACTCTGAAACAACCCAGCATTCGGGGTTTGTATGCACCGCTTATAAAAGAACAAATATTTTCCAATACAAAAAGCTCTTGTTGTAAAGTTGGAGCAGACAGGAAACCAAAACTGATTCCAAGCCCCATAGCTGATGGCAACCAGGCTAATTAGAGAATCATAAAAACTAGCAAAATTAGTCTCCTCTTCTATAAATGGGATTTGAAGCAGTGCAACCCTTGGGGTTTTAAGTCAAGAGCTCAGCCAAGCCTCTTATTTGTCACCTTTAGCTGCTGCATCACCTTCCTAGGCATACTTCTGACTATTTAACAAGCTCAGTATTCTTTCCTAATTCCATAGCTCATGCTGTGAACCGTTCTCCCCAAATCCAAGCTTGGCAGTGGCAAAAGAAGCAGCAGGAAGACCTTTCTTTAGGAGAAAGGGGTTCCTGGAATGCCATTAATGGGGATTAATCAGAAGACTTTAAAAGGATCTTGCAAATTATTCCCCACAGTGGAGAATTCCCCATGTGGTCAAGTGTGGAGCTGATTCAGGTTACAGGATAGATCTCATTAGGATGATGGATCAGACATGTCCATAGACTGTGTGTTTAATTCCCACAGGAGTCCTTCTACTGGAGCATGCCGCCAGGGCTGGTGCATCAGACACAAACATCTACGCTGCTCAGAGGTATTCATTAAATCTAACACCAAAGCCAAGACCGAGAAACCCAAAAGATTGCACACACTAACGTGGGAAACGCGCATCCTGACTTGCATATGCACACGCCATTTAAGTGAGCGGCAAGGGCTTGTGCACACTGGCCGCTCGCATGGAACATCCCCTCTCCCCACTCCCCCCCCCCCCCGGTCCAGAAAGCCGGCAACATTGGGAAACTCTGTTCTAACTGGTTGTGTGAACAAGTTCCCTTCCTGGGTTCTGGGGAAATCATTCACCTCTGTCCTAATGAGCGGGTATGCAATAATTTGTTTACACCAACTCAAAATGCTCAGCCAAAACCTTTCTCTCCAATTTTTTGATATATATGTGTCATTAAGCTCAAGGCTTAATCAAAGCTTTGTGTTATATTCTTATTGAATGTTGATTGTCGCAGACCTGCATCAGTAGTTAAGATGTGCCATCACCTTTCAATCATAGGAGCAGGAAGCAACGTTCAGGTAGATGGGTCTGAAACTAAGAAATCCCGTTTTAATTTGAAGACAAAAGGCTTTCTTCTCTCTTCTACAGGTGGTGTCAGGAGGGTGTCTGCCTTGTGGACAGAGAAGAGAAGGCTGGTTCTTACAACTCTGAAGCAGTTTCCCTGGATAAATCTTTGGTTTATGATGGGTATTCTTCTCTGAGAGGAAAACTCTAGTAATTAACAGCTGATCACTAAAAAAATAAAGGACAGGAATACAAAATTAAATCCATATTATTTAACAGGAAAGATAATATATCTGGCTTTCCACAGTCCTTGGGTAATGTTTTATAGCCAAAGTGTACTTGCAGATGCTCAGTATTATGCCATTTGACTCTCATTTTTACCATTTGACTACCTGTAGTGATCTTGGCAAGTTTTATTTTCTCAATTAAAAGTGATTT